TTTAACCTAGCTTACTTCATTTCATTTTTTTTTTTTTTTTTTTTTTTTTTTTTTTTTTTTTTTTTTTTTTTTTTTTTTTTTTTTTTTTTTTTTTTGTTTGCTTCTTCGTATTTTAGTTCTAAGCGCCTATTTTAGCAATTAAATCCTGGGAATTAGTCCGAAGGAGATCTTTTTTGGATGTTGGATTTTGACTTGTTGTGATATTTTTTCAGCTTCAGGAGTTTTTGGAAGCAGTTTCCTACTTGCTTTGTTAAAAGTATCACACACGAAGTACCAAATACAATTTTCGAGTACAGGGACACTGTTTCCACGGTAATTTTTTTTAAATTAAATTGTTTTTATAGTTTAAATAAAATTTTTCGCAACATTTTTTAGCGCTTATATACCAAAATTAACAATATATTGAGCTGTACACATGCTACATGATTTTCTCTACCCTTCCCTGAACGCTACTTTAATATTTTATTACTAAAATAGAATAGTTAATTAACATTTTAAGCATAATTTTTAAAATAAAAAATGGATTGATAGAGATAAAATTTGCAAACGAAATTTAATATCAATAAATTACATATAAGCAGAAAAACTCACCTTAAATATTCTTTTTGCGTCAGCGTTCGGCCATTATTATTTTCGATTTCCGCAGAGAACACACGCGAGAGTTTATTGAATTTAACGCGAGTTTTGTTGCACTAACACTTAGTTATTATTTTTGTGAGTACTTTATGTAATTTATTTTTTGCAATTTCAGCGTGTTTGTGCTGCTATTGTAACGCCGCGAGCTTCAGGTTAGGTTAGCTGTACAACACTAACAACAATTTTCACTAGCGCTATTTTTTATAATCCTTCACTGGCACTTCACTTTCGTTGCGCTGCGAAATTTCGCTTGCTGAACTTATGCAAAGTTCAAAGTACCCTTTTTTTGCGCCGCAATTTTTACGCACGCCACAAACAAAGGAATAACAATGTTTTCATGTTTATCCAGCATTCAAGAATTAAACAAACAACCGCGGTTGTGTTCACGCTGCGCTTGTTGTTTTAGATAATTGTTCGGTATGTTTTGCATTGATGTTGAAATATTCGTTGGAATTCTTAAAATTCGCTGTTTGCTTGTTTTTACAGTTATTTCGCACTCCCTCCACTTTTTACCATATATTGCTTGAATTATTTGTTCTGAGCTGGCAGTTCGTTTTCTTTGTTTTTGCAGCACAATATATGTGTGAAGGAATTCTGAATAAAAATTTTGGAGATTTTTTAAATTTTGCCCCAATGAATTTGCACCTCAGAGATATTCCGCAGTATATATGTACATATGTTTGCATGTATGTGTTGCTACCCGAATTTTTTCTATTTAAGCAGCAACCACAGTGTTCTATAACAAAAATACGTCCACTTTATGCTCACTTGCATATACGCTCTCTTGGTTGTGGTGTATGCCACTGCGTATGAGTAACAGCTATTAGTATGAATTTATCCATATAAAAAACTTATGACAACAACTGCCGCTATGTATTAGTGCGTGCTTTAAGCTTGCTGTTTTACTGCTGGCTTTATATTTTTTTTGGAAATTTTTGTTGTTGTTATAACGTTCTATGTTGTTAGATTGTAGTTACAGAAATCTCTTTTTCGACTTCTTTCTATGTTTTTGCTGGTTTCGCTTTCGCTTTTAACGTTTCAATATTTTACTTTCATTTCACATTCATAAAACCGTAAACACGTCGCCGCAAATTCAATTACAGCGCATTCACTCACGCACTTTTTTTTTCCACTTGGATAGTAAAAATCTTTTCTTTTTTTTCACAGATTTTGGTTTGGCGTGTTTTGTTGCTTTTTCTGCTTTTATTTTTTTTATTTTTATTGTTGTTGAGATTTCAATTTAGTACTTTCAGTCGATTGGCCGGAAAGAAATCTGCAAATATATAAAAGTGTGTGTGATTTGTTATTATGCTTTTATAGTTTGGTAGGTTTGTAGCTGTAGTAATAGGCTGAGGGTTCCCAGCAGTCAAACATAATTGAGAATTTAATATTGGGAGAAAATAAATTTCAAGAGGTTTCTAAAGCGAAAATTTCTTTAAATAAAAAACTAGATTATGCACTATTTTATGGAAATTTATAAAAAA